TACTACTAGTATTACTACAACTACTACTAGTACTACTACTACTACTACTACTACTACTTCTTCTTCTTCTTCTACTACTACTACTGGTACTACTACTACTACTACTACTACTACTACTACTACTATCACTATTACTACAACTACTACTACGACTACTGCTACAACTGTTATCACCACGATTACTACCACTACTTCTACTGCTACTACTACCTGCCTTTTTTAAACTACTGCTACTACTACTACTACTACTACTACTGCCACCTAGCACCACTACTACCACTACCACTACCGCTACTTATACTACTACTACTACTACTACTACTACTACTACCACCACCACTACTATTACCACTACCACTACTAGTACTGCTACGACGACGACGACGACGACGACGACGACGACGACGACGACTACTACTACTACTACTACTACTACTACTACATATACTACTACTACGTCTACTACGACTACTACCGCAACGACTACGACTGTGACTACTAGAGCTACTACTACGTCTTTGATTACTATTACTCTTACTAGTACTGCTACTACTACTACTACTACTACTACTACTACTACTACCACTACTACAACCACCACTACTACAACTACTACTACTACTACTACTACTACTACTACTACTACTACTACTAACACTACTACTACAACTACTACCTTTATCACTCCTACGACCACGACTACTACTACCACTACTACTACCACTACTACTACTACTACTACTACTACCACTACTACTACTACTACCACTACTACTACTACTCTCACTACTACTACTACTACTACTACTACTACTACTACTACTACTACTACTACTACGACTACCACTGCTACTACTGCTACTGGTAATACCACTACTACTACTACTACTACTACTACTCCTACCTAGCACTACTCCTACAACTACTACTAATTTTACTACAACTGCGACTACTACTGCTACTACTACTACTACTACTACTACTACCACGGCTACTAATACTACGACTAGTACTACTGGTATTGTGACTACTGCGGCTACTGGAACTACAACTACGTCTACTATGACGAGTATTTCTACGACGACGACGACTACTACTACTACTTCTACTACTACTACTACTACTCTTGTAGCGGCTACTACTACTGTTGCTATTACGACTACTAGTACTACTATGACTACGATTCGAATCTCTACTGCTACTAACACTAGTACTACAACAACAAGTATTATTACTACTACTACTACTACGACTACGGCTACTACTACTACTACTACTACTACTACTACTACTACTACTACTACTACTTATACACCAGACTACTCCTACTCCTACTCCTACTACTACTACTACTACTACTACTACTACTACTACTACTACTACTACTATTCTTACCATTCCTACTACTACTACTACTACTACTACTACGACTACTACTATTACTATTACAACTACTACTACCAACTACTACCAACGCCCCGACACCTACTGGAACAAGGTCGCCGGCAAGAACAGCCAAGGCACTGACGACAAAGGCAAGGGCAGTTTCCCAAAGCGAACGGCGCTTACATCGAGGACGTCAACCAACCGCAGAAAGGACAAGAGCAATGAGAAAGAAGGGTAGGGGCAAACATCCACCCACACGAGAGGAGAACAACGCAGCCAAAAAGAAGCAGGCGGAGCCCAATCAGGATTACAACGACCACATCACAACCATCATCTGCAACGTCATGCCCATGCGCAAAGTCTACGCCACCAGGAGGCGTGATTCGCAGGCGTCATGCAACGGCTCAAGACTCAAAAAGAGGTGGAACACACTCATGATAGCTGGGCAGCGACGAGCAGCAGCCGCGATGATGAAGGACAGAGTCGCTGGCCTACCCACTACAGACGCAGAATCGCAGATCGCCTTCATCAGAGATCAAAGCGATGAATCATATCTTGCCACATCGACCGCAACCAGCAGACTATGGGGGAACATGACGGGCACGCCACGGCGCGACACAAAGAAGTCGAGACATATCTGGTCGCACGAGCGGCAAGTATTAACGAACTTCATATCATCGACAGGGACGCCAGCTTAGCGCTGAACGACGAACACAATTAGTTGGACGCAGCAGATGGCGATGCAGACGACCCACAAAGAGACGGTCCCAACAGGAGGAGCCCCACACCAGCACCAAGAAGGCAAACCAATGCTGGGGAAACAAGCGATGGCCAAGACGTTGGAGCGTCACTCAAAGCCTTCAAGAAGGAGAACCAACGCGTCGCTCAAGACGCGTAAAGAAGAACTAACACGAGCCAAAGGAGGAGTTCGACAGCCTCTACCACATCAACAAGCGGAACGAGAAGGCGAGGCAGAAATCCGCGACGGAACTGCAGCAGTTAGAGCGACAATGTCGGGAAGTTGCAGAGACCGCGCAAGTGTAACAGAACAAGCAGTCGCATGCAACACTGCATGCGCAGCGCCACCAGACCGAGAAAGAGGGGGAGCTGACGAATGCCGCGACCACAACCGAGAAGCTGGTGGGCCACCGCGAACGCATTCAGACTGGAGCGGCGGCTGCACTGCAGAGGACTGAGGAGGAGCTCGAAGCCAACATGAGGAAAAGCAGCCGCGCCGGGGAGGTCGCTCTTCATCGAGTCAAACACGCCGCCGACGTACATGCGCTGAGACAGGCGCAGCGAAGAATCGCTGAACATGACACCGACCAGAAGAAACACCCACAGCAGGTACAACTCATGGAAGAGACAGCCATAGGAAAGGGAGGTGTACTGCAACAGGATGCCAGAAGCAGAGCGACACACCTCTGTTACTGGGGCGCAGATGGGCCAACGACTTCGGTTAGCAGGTCCAGCTGCGCCACCGCTGAAGGGGGCTCCGACCATCTGCTCCGCAACGCCCACCTCGGGATGCATGGCCAGGAGAAGCTCGCGGAGGCCACTGCCCGGAACGTTCAGGAAGAGCACCAGCAGAGGGTCGAGCCCGACAACATGAGCAGCATATCGAACGGGTACTCATGGACACGCGCAGCAACCAGGAGCAAGCTCGACAGCACGCGGCCCATGCAGGAGGCCAGCTGCAACAACTACTACAACACATAGAAATCGGCACGGCAGAACGAAAAGAAGCTCACCAACAAGGAATAGAGGTATATCTGCAAACAGAGGCCACGTTGTGACGGCAAACAAGACATGCGCTCATGGCGCGCTGAGGAGGCGACCCAGGAATACGTCTACTACGCGCGACAAGCAGCAGCTCAAGCACAACAGCGCCTCGACAACGTGGAGATTGTGGACACCATCGAGAAGGCCTTGGCCAGCGATTTTCCAGCGACGAGGATGAGATCGACGGAATCCTGCAACCAGCTGCAGCCATAACTCCACAAAAACCGTGCCAGTATTGACTACACCCACAATCCCACAGTAACGTAGCAGCGCGAGGGAACGACGCATGGGGAGCAACCTCATCACGTCCAGTGCAATACGAAGACCATCGATTTCACCTTATCGCTCCGGCAAGAGGCCGTCTCACTCCGACTACGACGCACGACGCAGACGGATACGAGGTCCCACTACAAAGTGAAGAATGCGACGCGGTTTTACCCCCGACGCCCAACGCATCAACGCTGGGATCGATGACGGCAGGGGGGAGGCCCAGACATGATGGCGTCGCCAAAACAAATCAGGACGGGAGGTTTTTGAGTATTTTCGGGCCCTGGGGCCTTGGCCTGGCCCCGGGACTATCACACTCCGGCCCAGGATGAAACGCTGGTTCTGGGGAAAGGCCTGGGACTTTCAGGGACGCCGTAGTGAAGATATCAGGACGTCGCACTTCTGGGGGCCAGGTTCAGAACCCCCCCCCGTTTCGGGGGGTCGGCCAGGGGGAGAGGGAGAAGGGGACCCACCGCCCATTCGGCTCGGACCCAGAAGGGGGGGGAAGGGGGGGGATTCCGCCAAGGGCGACGACGACGTCGGCGACGACGACTACGGCGGCGGCGACGACCACGGCGCCGACGACCACGACGACTGAGCGCCAGTGGGGTTCTATGAAAACTGAATCGAGCCCTAGCAGGGTTGCGTTAAGGCTGGGCCGAGCCCTGATCGGATTCTATTCGGGCTGCATGCGGACACCAGTAGGCGTCCATTAAAGTTCGGTCGAGCCTTGGAAGCAGTAGGATCCTATTGAATCTGGACCGACCCCGAATATGATTCTATTAGAGCTGGATTTGGCGCTAGTGGCAGGATGTTATTGCAGACTTGTATCGGACATGTGAAGGATTCCAATAGAGCTGGATCCAGGTCTGGTGGAGCCCTTTCAGAATCGGACCGATCCTTTGTAGGATTCTGCTAGAGCTTGGTCGAGCCCTTGTCGGATTTCACTACAGCTGGATCTTGCTCGAATGGCAGGATTCGATTACAGCTGGATCGAGTCCTTGTTCTTTGTTTGTTTTTGTCCGTGTTTCGAGGGGGGATGCAGCCAGCCGACGGCAGGTCGCGCTCCCTCCCTCTTCGGGTCGGGGGCACGCGCCTTTCCATTGTCACCATCGCCATCATCACCAGCATCAGCATCAGCATCAGCAGTGTCGTCATCATCAGCAGCAGCATCATCCCGGTCGTCGTCATCATCAGCAGCATCAGAATCGTCAGCATCGTCATCGTCAGTGTGGAGTTCTGGGCAGCGACGGCTTGGGCCCACGTGGGCCGTGGGGCGCTCCATGGGCCCGGGGGGGCCTCGGGCCCCCGCCTCGGGTCGCGCATCGAATGTAGGCCCAGCAGGGGCAGAATAGCAACGCTCCTGAAGCCCTGCAACTCAGCACCCGATTGCCATCATCATCATCATCATCATCATCATCATCATCATCATCATCATCATCATCATCATCATCATCATCATCATCATCATCATCATCATCATCATCATCATCATCATCATCATATCATCATATCATCATCATCGTCATCATCATCGTCATCATCACCATCATCATCATAATCATCATCATCAGCATCATCGTCCGTAGGCATTTTGGCTCAAGCGTTTTTGTCTCGAGCCCCTTGTGCTGGGGCGGCGTGCCCTCGGTTGCAGACTCGTCCGCGCGACGCCTCTGGGGAGTCAGATGAAGCCGCTGCCGTCGGGCATCCAGACATTCCAGGGTAGCGCAGACGACGCCCACACCGAGGAATTCCGCTCAACGCTCAAGAGCGCCTTCGCGCGGATTTTGGAAGCGCACCGCTGCGAGGTGGCGGAGCTGCAGCTGCAGCTTGACGCCGTCGGCAAAAAACGGCCGACGCCGCCCAGCTGTCCCACCTCCCCTATCTTGACCGTGGCCAATACGTTGGAGCCGAAGCTCGGATGGGCGGAACCTCGCGTGGACATGCAGGGACACGACAACGTCGACAGGGCAGCGTCGGCGTCGACAAGGACGTCGACAGGAGGCTGCACGGGGACGGCGACACCGGCGACTGGATGTGCCGGGGTCAACGACAGCGTCGACAAAGCGCATGCCGCTGAACCAGTGGCAGAGCCTGCGAAGTTGATGCAGGGAGGCAATCCAGAACGGTTCTCAGGGCCGCATTGGCAATGGATGCACCGCACAGGGTGGAAGGGGTATGACCCGGAGGCTTCCGACAAGATAGAGGAGGCTTTTCAGAAAGGCCACCCAAAGGCCCGCCTCAAGGCCGGCAAGAAGGGCAGCAGTCCAATGAACATATTTTTCGAAGACATGGTTCAACACGATGAGGCATCGGGGAATTCAAGGGATGTTCGCCGGGTGGGCCCAAACCCGTGGTGGCAGCGCTTAAGGCGGCACTTGTTATCTTATTATTACGCTTGGGACACTGGGCTGCCGAGGACAGAGACACTGGCCGACTCAAAAGCGCGTAAGAAGCTGATTCAAAAGGCTGGTATTGGCGCTGTTGGCTCGAAGCTCGACCTGGCGCAGAACTTCTACCACCCAACAGGCCTCGCCGCGGCCGTCGCCAGGAGCAAGTTCTTCCATGGCATCGCAACCCTCGTGGTTGCCCTGAACGCGATATGGATCGCCATAGAGCTGGACAACAACGACGGGCCGACGTCCAAGGTCGGGTTCCAGGTGGTGGACCACGTATTCTGCGGCCTCTTCACCGTCGAGCTCGTCGTTCGCTTTGCGGCCTACAGGAGGAAGGTGTTCTGCCTGCGCGACGGGTGGTTCTGCTTCGACGGCGCGCTGGTGCTGCCGATGTGGTTGGACCTCTGGCTGCTTCCGCTCGTGGGCCTTCTGGCGGGTGACGAGCGCGGAAGCTCGCTCAAGGGCGACCTCACGGTCTTGCGCGTCGCTCGGCTGTTGCGTCTCACGCGCATGTACCGTTTGCTGAAGTCGGTGCCGACGATGATGACGCTGCTGCGGGGGATCACGACTTCCATTCGGCCCGTGAGCATCGCGGTGGGCCTTCTGATATTGATCATATACCTCTTCAGCATTATCTTTCGGAGCCTGGTGGATCCTGGCGGCTTCCTCGAGATGGAGTATTTCCCTTCCGTGACGTACACGATGCTGTTTTTGTTGATGCACGGTACCTTCTTGGACTCGGTGGGAGCAAAAGGATTTGAGATCAATAGGGAGGGTGGCATCGTCTTGATGTTCTTCTTCTTGGCATACATATTCATGACGAGTTTTTTAATGCTAAACATGTTGATCGGAGTCGTCTGCGAAATGGTGTCCACGGTAAAGAACTGCGAGCAGGAGTTGATGGCAAAGGTATCGTTGCAAGCTCAACTATCCGACATCATGGATGTGTACGACGCGGACGGCACTGGGTCACTGACACAGTCCGAATTCCATCTGTTCATCAACAATTTGGAGGTGGTGCAAGCGCTTCACCACTTCGATGTCGACATCAAAGGGCTGGACACACTCAGTGAGATGATGTTTTCGCACGTCTCCCCTGAGGGTGGGTCCGAGGAGGCCGCCATCGGCTTTGACGACATCATGAGTTTGGCCGTGCGCCTCAAGGGCACTAGTGCCTCCCGAGTGGAGGACATCGTGAAGCTGCGCGAGTTCACTAAGCACCGTTTCGAGGCCTTGGAGCAGCATCTTATCAGCAATCAGAGGATGCTGGAGGAGCGCGTGGTCCACTCCCATTCCTCGCTGGCCAACCCGCCAGAAGTACGCCGGGGCTCGGTTCTGCGCTGAGCTTGAGCCGCCTCATGCGGAGCCCAGGATTTCAAACCTCCACGAACCTGCAGAACGAAGCGAGCCACTCCGGAAAGGAGGAGCAAGTAGTCAGAATCCAGTATGGAGGTCGAACCTTCGTCATGTATGGGCCCATGGATGGCTGAGATCCGATCCTTTCCCCGTACAGGCGGGGCGCCGAAGGAGGAACCCTTTCTCCTCTGGGAGGGGCTCAGTGTCCCTTCCTTGTTTCACAGGTTGGCCCCAGCTTCTTTCCTCGGGCTCCCGCTGGGAAGTCGAAGCTGGGCTCGTGGAAGACAGGGTAGCCTCGTTCCTTACGTACCTGCGTAGGGCGCGCTGCGATCTGTACGATTACGCGTCTCGCAGGGGAGGGGGGGTTTCTCGGACCGCCAGTTCTGTGTGGACTCCTCTCGGCAGGCTTGGCGATCGGGCAAGCGCACTTCGTTCCATCGTTCTCCCATCGCACGTCTCTCTGGTGTGCCTCCCCTGTCGATCATCGTTTCTGCCCTTTTCTCGATTGGCGCCAACCGAGTCGCCCACGTCCGGACCCACGTCGGCTCTGCCGAGTCGCATCCTGCCCCCCTCGCACCTCGCGCTGTTTCCCGAACGCTCTCCGCATGCCGCGCCGTGTTTCGATGTACCTCTCTTCTATTGCTGCTGCTGCTGCCACTGCTGCTACTCCGTCCCCTTGGTCTCCTGTTCCACCCTCCCTTTTCCACACACCCTGCATGTGCTAGTGATGTTCACCTTATCGCTCCAGGTACCTCAAAATGGTTGACTTTGGAATCGCCGAGCGTGTTACGAGCGGCCGTATCTACGCTGTCAAGGAAGCGAACGGCTGCCCAAGCCGTTGCGCGGAACCTTTGGTGGCGGAAGAGCAGCAAGAGGAGCGACAGGAGCTGAGTGACGGAAGGATTGCGAGGCGGAGCAGAAGGTGAGCAGAGCCCGCCGTTTGCGCAATGTGTTGTGTTGGCATCGTTTGCGTTCTCCTTGTCAGTGCTACCCATCGCGCCCAGATATGGAGGAACACGTAAAAGGATAGCTTGCACGGGAGAGGATGCGGTCCACTCGCTCGATCTATCGTCCTGCCGCGGCCTGTCCCTTTCTCTCTCTATCGCCCCTCATTCCCGCACGGAGGAGCAAAGCATGCAACAGTGGAGGTCGAACCACAATTGCATTGGCTTCCCTCAACATCCCACCAAGTTGTTTCCGTGCCTCCTGAGGGGTTAGGTCCTCTTGTCCTCTCTGCTGCAAAATGCAGGAAGGAGGAGGAAGGCGAGAGAGCAGGATGAGCCGAGGGTAGACGATGGGAGGTGGAGGACGCGGTGCAGCAGGAGAACAACTAATACGTAGGTAGCACCTCGCAATGGCGGATCACTGGGGTGGGTCGCGGGTTGGGTTGCGGGTGGTTCGCGGGTGGTTGACGACGACAACGACGACGACGCGTTCGTTCTTACCTGCTCGCGTGCCAATCAACTCGTATATCCCAACCCTCGCTACCCGCCCTCTTGGTCTTCGATCGTACCCCCCTTGAGGGTGCATCGTCCCTACATGCCGCGTGTAGTTGACGCAGCCCCGAAAACATGGAAAAGAGGGGAGGAGTGAAGCGACAAAGGGGAGGGAGAAGGATAGACTACGAGAGAGATTTGCAGGAGGAGGGTTAGGAGCAGGAACGTAAGCGGCAGAACGCAAGCGGCAGCACCAGACGGGCGTGTGGGCGGGCGAACCCCAACGGGCAGGTCGTGCCGGCGGGCCCAGACGGCCAGGTCGAGCGGGCGTGTCGCTAGAGCGTCGGCCCATCATCAAGGAGGAGGATGCAGGACGAGAGAGACAAACAGAAAGGGGGAATAGACATGAACATGAACACAAGAAGCTGGTCCAGGCGGGCGGGCCGGGCAGACCCTGACGGGCGTATCGTCCCGAGCGAGAGCGTCATTCTTTGGTAATGTGCAAAGAAGTCCCGAGCGAGAGCGCGACTCCTGAAGAAATAACAAAGGAACGGTTCGAGTACATTCTCAGGACGTTTTGAGCGAGAGCGTGATTCCTGGGTGTCGGGGCGCTGCGCATACATATATTGGGGAGAAGTCCCACGCGAGAGCACGAGTCCTGACTGTAAATAGCAATGGGGTCTCAAGCGGAAGCGCGATTCTTCTATTAGTTGTGATGCGGTATCGGGCTGGAGCCGTTGTCGTAGTAGTTCGGGGGGCAACGCCGCAGTTTTGAGACCCAATTTTTTCCCCTACCTAGGCTCTGCCTAGAAGGGTTCTTACCCTCTAGCTTAAAGGGGCCGGGCAGTGGAAAGCGCCCCGGGCGGTTCCCCCAGTCCCCGCCCCGCGGTTCCCCCAGTCGCGCCCCCTTAGCTTGGCTTAGCTTATCTCGTCTTAGCTTAGCTTGGCTTAGCTTAGCTTGGCTTAGCTTAGCTTAGCTTAGCTTGGCTCACCTTAGCTTAGCTTAGCCTAGCTTAGCTTAGCCTAATGTAGCTTAGCTTAGCGTAGCATAGCATAGCACGGCATAGCATAGCACAGCATAGCATAACATAGCACAGTATTGCATAGCATAGCTTAGCATAGCTTAACATAGGGCCCGCTTAGATTGGCTTAGCTTATCCCGTATTAGCTTAGCTTGGCTTAGTTTAGTTCGGCTTAGCTTAGCTTAGCTTAGCTTGGCTTACCTTAGCTTAGCTTAGCTGAGCTTAGCTTAGACTAATGTAGCTTAGCGTAGCATAGCATCGCATGGCATAGCATAGCACAGCATATCATAACATAGCACAGTATTGCATATCATAGCTTAGCATAGCTTAGCATAGCTGAGTATAGCTTAGCATAGCATAGATTACCATAGCACAGCATAGTATATCATAGCATAGCAAATTATAGCACAGCATTGCATAGCATAGCATAGCGCGGCATATCATATCATATCATAGCATAGCATAGCATAGCATAGCATGGCATATCATCTCATACCATATCATAGCATAGCATAGCGCGGCATAGCATAGCATAGCAAAATCAACGAAGACAAACAAAGCAAACGTGTCGAAGACAACGCAACGCAAAGCAGAAGCAAAGCAAAGCAACGGCAAACGTAAAACCAAGGTATGCATGCACGTGTGCATGCACAACTGCTACTAATTCTGCTTTCCTCGAGGCTCCAACTCCTAGGTAGGGTCGCACTGGGATAATTCCTTGTAAGAAACTGGGTGCGCGCACCAGGAGGGGCATTTGAATAGAAAAGCACGATGGGCACCTGTCGTGTGATCAAAAACGTTATGCTCAGGTCCGCAACTTTGGTTTCGTTCTCGTGCGTGGACTTGACGTGAGTAGTGCGATGATGCGCTTGTGGCAGATCTTTGGGTGGGAGCCCGTTGCCAGTTACTGCAACGTTTGGACCGATGAGCTAGAAATAGAGTTCACCACCAAAGGACAAAACAACGTAATCGGGGCCGGGGCCTCCCACTTCACCTGCCCAGTAGGAGGAGAAGGAGGAGGAGCAGGAGGAGGAGCAGGAGCAGGAGCAGGAGCAGGAGCAGGACCAGGAGCAGGAGCAGGAGCAGGATGATGATGATGATGATGCTGATGATGATGATGATGATGATGATGATGATGATGATGATGATGATGATGATACTGATGATGACGATGATGATGACGACGATGTTGATGCTGATGCTGCTGCTGATGATGCTAATGATGATGATGTTGATGATGATGCTGATGATGCTGATGGTGATGATGATGATGATGACGATGATGATGATGATGCTGATGATAATGATGATGATGATGATGCTGATGCTGATGATGATGCTGATGATGATGATGATGATGATGATGATGAGGAGGAGGAGGAGGAGGAGGAGGAGGAGGATGGACGCCGCAGGCGTGCCGCCCCCATGGCTCGGCAACACCAAGAAACAGCAGGGGGATCACGCAGCAAGAGCAGGAGGACCACCGTGGGAGGGCGTCAGAAGGCCTGGAGGGTTTCTCCGAAGGGCTTAGGCGACCCGTCCTCCTCCTCCTCCTCCTCCTCCTCCTCCTCCCTCCCCCTCCTCCTCCTCCTCCTCCTCCTCCTCTCCTCCTCCTCCTCCTCCTCCTCCTCCTCCACCTCCTCCTCTTCCTCCCTCCTCCTCCTCCTCCTCCTCCTCCTCCTCCTCCTCCTCCTCCTCCTCCTCCTCCTCCTCCTCCTCCTCCTCCTCCTCCTCCCCCTACGGCCCCGGGGGAAACCGTCCAAGAAGACCCCCGCACCGCAGGGCACCCCGCTCTTCATGGCCCCGGAGGTGATCCTCGGGAAGGCGCGCAGCGCCCGCCGCCTGCTGCGGCCGCGGCGGGCACACCACTGGCAGCGGGAGGGGCGGCCGCAGCGGGGAGGAGGACCAGAGAGCAAAAGAGGGGACAGGAGGGAGTCATTCTCCTGGCGAAGGACCCAACCATAAGAAGTTGTGGGTACCGCAACTGTGAGTATCTTCTTCGGTGAAGCTCCCTATGGGGCCACGAAGCGCTGCGCTGGGCGGGGGGGGGAAAGCATGCGGGCGGTAGCACTGGGGCCGTCGGTGAAGCTCCCTATGAGGCCACGAAGCGCTGCACTGGGTGTGTGTGTGTGTGTGTGTGTGTGTGTGTGTGTGTGTGTGGAAATACCAAATTAGGCGTGTGGGCCACGAAGCGCTGTACTGGGTGGGTGAAAATGCAAAATTCTGTTGTGGGGGACGCATGTGGGCGGTACCACTGGGGGCCTTCGGTGGGGCTCCCTATGGGGTCACGAAGCGCTGCACTGGGTGAGTGAAAATGCCGAAGTTGGGTGTGGGGGACGCATGCGGGCGGTCCCACTGGGGCTTCGGTGGAGCTGCCCATGGGGCCACGAAGCGTTGTACTGGGTGTGTGAAAATGCCAAATTGGGCGTGGGGGGCGCATGCGGGCGGTCCCATTGGAGGCTTCGGTGGAGTTCCCCATGGGGCCGCGGAGCGTTGTAAAGGGTGAGTGACACTGCCAAATTGGTTGTGGGGGGCGCATGCGGGCGGCCCCACTGGGGGCTTCGGTGGGGCTCCCTATGGGGCCACGAAGCGCTGTACTGGGCCGGTCAAGATGCCAAATTGGGTGTGGGGGGGGACGCATGCGGGCGGTCCCACTGGAGGCTTCGGTGGAATTCCTTGGTGGGAGGCATGCGGGTGGTTTCGGTGGAGCTCCCTATGGGGCCACGAAGCGCTGTACTGGGCGGGTGGAAATGCCAAATCTGGCATGGGGGACGCATGCGGGCGGTCCCACTGGGGGTTTCGGTGGGGCTCCCTATGGGGCCACGAAGCGCTGTACTGGGTGGGTGGCATTGCCAAGTTGGGTGTGGAGGACGCATGCGGTCGGTCCCACTGGGGGCTTCGGTGGGGCTCCCTATTGGGCCACGAAGCATTGTACTGGGTGGGTGAAAATGCCAAATTGGGTGTGGAGGACGCATGTGGGCGGTACCACTGGGGGCTTCGGTGGGGATCTCTATGGGGTCACGAAGCGCTGTATTGGGTGTGTGAAAATGCCAAATTGGGTGTGGGGTACGCATGCACGCGGTCCCACTGGGGGCTTCGGTGGAGTTCGCTATGGGGCCACGAAGCGCTGTACTGGGTGAGTGAAAATGCAAAAGAGTGTGTGTGTGTGTGTGTGTGTGTGTATGTGTGTGTGTGTGGTGGTGGGGGGGGGGGACGCATGCGGGCGGTCCCACTGGGTGCTTCGGTGGGGCCCCCCATGGGGCCACGAAGCGCTGTACTTGGTGCATGAAAATGCAAAATTGAGTGTGGGTGACGCATGCGGGCGGTCCCACTGGGGGCTTCGGTGGGGCTCCCTATGGAGTGTCGAAGCGCTGCATTGGTGGGTGAAAATGCCGAAGTTGGGTGTGGGGGACGCATGCGGGCGGTGGCCTTGGGGCCTTCGGTGGAGCTCCCTATGGGGCCACGAAGCGCTGCACTGGGTGTGTGAAAATGCCAAATTGGGCGTGGGGGACGCGTGCAGGCGGTCCCACTGGGTGCTTCGGTGGAGCTCCCCATGGGGCCACGCAGCGCTGTACTGGGTGGGTGAAAATGCAAAATTGTGCGTTTGGGGCGCATGCGGGCGGTCCCACTGGGGGCTTCGGTGGGGCTCCCTATGGAGTGTCGAAGCGCTGCATTGGTGGGTGAAAATGCCGAAGTTGGGTGTGGGGGACGCATGCGGGCGGTGGCCTTGGGGCCTTCGGTGGAGCTCCCTATGGGGCCACGAAGCGCTGCACTGGGTGTGTGAAAATGCCAAATTGGGCGTGGGGGACGCATGCAGGCGGTCCCACTGGGTGCTTCGGTGGAGCTCCCCATGGGGCCACGAAGCGCTGTACTGGGTGTGTGAAAACGCCAAATTGGGTGTGGGGGACGCACGCGGGCGGGGGCACTGGGGCCTTCGGTGGAGCTCCTTATGGGGCCACGCAACGTGTGAAGGGGGTGTGCCAAATTGGGTATGGGGGACGCATGCGGGCAGTGGCACTGGGGCCTTCGGTGGAGCTCCCTATGGGGCCACGAAACGTGTGAGGGGTGTGCCAACTTTGGTGTGGGGGACGCGTGCGGGCGGTGGAGAGGAGGAGGGGGAGGAGGAGGAGAAGAGGAACGCGGGGACCGTCTCTTCAAAACGAGGACCCACCACCACAGGCTGGTTGGGAAAAACGCACAGGCACAATGAATCGACGATCCCCAGGAGAATCTAGGAGAATGTGGGAAGCGGGTGGGATCCTGAGATTCGTGCCTATTTGTTTGTGTGTGCCCGAGCCCCTTCAAGGGGGGAGGGAGGAGAAGGGCAGAGAGGGATGGGAGAGGAGCCGCCACATGGGCCCGCGCGCGACCTCCCCTCCTCCCGCCTCCCCGCCCCGCCGCTCCAGCCCTCTCCTCCCCTCCCTTCCCAGGCTCCGGGGGGGAGGGTCTGGGCTCGGACCCACACAGGTTTCGCGGACGTGCTCTTCGGTATCGCTCGGGCGTGGGCCGTCTGTCGCGGCCTCCTCCGTCTCCGCCTCTTCCTCCTCCTCCTCCTCCTCTTCCTCCTCCTCCTCCTCCTCCTCCTCCTCCTCCTCCTCCTCCTCCTCCTCCTCCCCCTCCTTTTCCTCCTCCTCCTCCTCCTCCTCCTCCTCCTCCAGGAACGGGAACGCCCGCAGCACCGCAGCATACTCCAGATTCTAGATTTGAGGCGTTCCAGGAAGTCATGAAGCAATGGTCGGGTTGGGAGGATGGGGATGGGAGAGATGAGGATGGCCTTACCCGTAGGCGGCCGAAGGTATCGTTCAGTGCATCTGGATGCTATTGCTCATGCGCTTCATCCTCCCAACCCCCTTTTTCCAACACGGTAACTGTTCTCCTCAAAAAGGGCTTTGCCTTCGAGGATCGAAAGAGTTGACATCTCTTCCAGGGCGGACGGCGGCGGAAGGGCGGCGGAAGTAAAACGAGGCAACCTCCGCCGGCGGAAGCCGGCGGAAGACTGGCAGAAGGTTGCGGAAGTAAATCATGCGCCCCCAAGGGATGACAGCATGTTTGGGTTCAGGGTGTTTGGAATCCGCCATTTGGCTTCAGCTCCGACTTCTGTGATTGCTGGTGGCTGGGGAGTCCCGATAGTCAGCAGCTAAATTAAGTTTGCGCGCCGGTTTCAGCTTTTCATTCAGATCGACGGTCGGATATCACCAGCTTTGCTTCATCAGCTTATGTGCATTATGAGCCTTCGCTGGGTATGTTTGACTACGTCGTTGGATGTTTATGTTCGCTGAGCTATGCTCCAGAGGCTTGCTCCGTTCCGCCGACCCTCAGGCAGAAGAACGAGGGTGCGCGATGACCAATGATGAGGGCCGAATTGCTGTGAGACAACAGCTGCAGCCCCGTTCTGGTCATTCACCTGCTCCACCTCCCGCCCATTCTCGTCGTCGTCTTCCTCCTCCCTCCTCTCTCCTCCATTTCCTCCCGCCGTGGAGCGGGGGGGGGGTCACGAGGGTCTAATGTTTAAGTCGGGCATGCCCTTCTACAGGAGGAACATTCAAACATAGTTTGAAACAACCAGGAGACGATGCTGTTCTACCACGTCGTGGGTATTCTTGCGCATGTTTGGCAGCTCTTTCATTGTTCGTCCGTAATCCGCCTGTAGGAGGGCATGCCCAGCGTAGGTCTAATGTCGGCCGCCCAGCGCAACGGCAGATCGCTGCACCCCGTGCCACGGTGAGCTCGCTCTCCAGCCGTGCTCGCCCGTTCGCCTCTGCACAGGCCTTCGTCCCCCTCCTTGTAGTCGTTCCGTCCCTCCCCCTAGTTCCAGAATCCCCATCCTCGTTTTTCTCCCTCGTCATCCCCACTCCCACCTCCCCGGCCCCCTATGGCCCAAGTGCTCAGGAGGCATCGCTGTGTGCCGCCCGCTTCTTTCCTGGGTGGCCGAGGCAGGCTCGACTGTCAGCTCGAGCATCCGTCCACCGGGAGTGCTGGTCGTCGGTCGGGGTTGTGGCCGTCCTCCTTTCCCTTCCCCCCTCGCTTCCTGCTGGCTGCTCCTGGCCATCTCGGAAGACTCCGGCACGCCGGTCGCGGCCCGACTCGGCCTTCGACCCGGCTGTCCTGTCGATGGGTCGGGCCTCGGGGCGGCCGATCGGCCTCTTGACCAACGGCGTGTCCCACGATCTCGGGTGGGTGGGCACGGGGTAGCCAGCACAGAATCGCAGCTGATATGTTGGTCATGATCGATTCGTGTCGGCCCGTCCCACCACCGTGCCTGGGTTGTGGGTCTGAGGCCTCTTGGATGCCCGTTGGGACCTCGTCGAGGCCTCTCGGGTGCCTCCTCCTGGAGGCAGTCTTGAAGCCTCTGGGGGGCTGGTTTGGGGCTTCTTTGGGGCCTCTTGGGGCCTCTTGGGGGCCTCTTGGGGGCCTCTTAGGGCCTCGTGGGCGCCTCTTGGTGCGGAAGGCTCGGATTTTCGGTTCATGTTCAACCTCTTTGGCTCCTCCTGGGGCCGTCTTGTGGCCCTCTTGAGCCGTCTTGGGCGCCTCTTGGGCCGTCTTGGGCGCCTCTTGGGTCGTCTTGGGGTCCTCTTGGGCCGCCTTGGGGCCACCTCGTGGACCCGTGGGGCCGTCTTGTAGCGGTCTGGGGGGCCGTCTTGGGACGTCTTGGAGCATCGGAAGCTCGAAAAGTGGAGAACCCCAAAACATTGCAACACCAAAGGAAAATCAATGGTTTGGGCCTCTCGGGGCCCTCTTGCGAAGGCTCTTGGAGGCCTGTTGGGACGTCGTGTGCGCTTTTTTGGCCGACTGGATGCCATCGTGGGCGTCTTGAACCGATCGCTCAGCGCTTCGAGGCCCTCTTAAGCTACCTTGGTGGCCTCGTCAGGTACTCTTGGCCCGTCTTGGGGGTCTTGCAGGCCCGAATACGTCATGCGACACTCCCTGGAAGCCACGCTACAAGCCCCGAGAGACTTGGGAATTTAGGGTCTGGCAGGGCCCCAGAACCGGCAGGCTTGAGGACTGAGGCCCCAGGGGATTGAGCAATGGACCTGAGGACACTCCAGCGCGTGCCGGCAAGGGCACGGCGTCGGACTTGACGCTGCTTCACCACAACCCCATGCCACCGGCCATGCGAACGACACCGTTGAGCTGCACTGATTCAGGAGGGAAAGAAACACACAGACACTATGAATCGTCGACTCCCAGGAAAAGATGCAAAAATATGGGAAGTGGGGGGGGCAGGCAAGAACCAAACAAAGATGGGAAAATATGGGACATATTTTCATTTGTGCGTATTTATTTGTGTGTCCTGGGGTCCCTTCACTGATGTCCTCGTCGTCGCTCCACCGCCGGCGCCCGCGTCCCCGTCGGCCTTGGGCTGCCTGCCACGCCTCCGACTCTGGCTCCCACCTCTCGGAGGCCACGTTGGTCCGATCTTCGACTCCAGCTCCCGCTGGCCCCCGTGAGCCGGAGGGCGAGGAGGAGGAGGAGGAGGAGGAGGAGGAGGAGGAGGAGGGCGAGGAGGAGGAGGAGGAGGAGGAGGAGGAGAGGCGAGGAGGAGGAGGAGGAGGAGGAGGAGGAGGAGGAGGCCGGCCGCACCCGGGATGCCCCTCGGGGGCCGGCCGCCTCCAGGGCTACACCACCACGGCCGACCTCTGGGGCCTGGGCGTCTGCCTCTACGACTTCATGCTAGGCCGTGCGCTCCGCTGCCCGCGGCTCCCGGGGTCGAGGGGTCGAGAGAGAGAGTCAGAGCCCCGAATCATCAGGGGTAACTCGGGTCAGGGATAACTCGGGTTCGTTTTTCGGGAATCCAAACCCGAGTTATCCCGGACCCGAGTTACCCCGGACAACTCGGGCGTCCAGAGCCCCGAATCATCAGGGGTAACTCGGGTCAGGGCTAACTCGGGTTCCTTTTTCGGGAATCCAAACCCGAGGTATCCCGGACCCGAGTTACCCCGGACAACTCGGGCGTCCAGAGCCCCGAATCATCAGGGGTAACTCGGGTCAGGGATAACTCGGGTTCGTTTTTCGGGAATCCAAACCCGAGTTATCCCGGACCCGAGTTACCCCGGACAACTCGGGCGTCCAGAGCCCCGAATCATCAGGGGTAACTCGGGTCAGGGCTAACTCGGGTTCCTTTTTCGGGAATCCAAACCCGAGTTACCCCGGACCCGAGTTACCCCGGATAACTCGGGCGCCCAAGAGAGAGAGGGAGGGCAACAGGGCAAGTGTCGCAGCGGGCTGGCAGGGGGGAGCTTTGTGCCGAGTAGTTTTGGGGAGGAGGGGCAATCATACATCGGAGGAGGAGGAGGAGGAGGAGGAGAAGAAGAAGAATAAGAAAAAGAAGCGGCATGCGACTTAAAAGTCGCAGGTCCGCGCGGATTTCTTAGATCGGTGCTGGGCCCCCTTGGCGGCGCCTCCCCCCTCTAAAGGGTGCGTCCCCGGCGTCGCCCCTGGCGCGCGGCGCGCGCCAGGGAATGGCGATCAGCGCAGATCCAGGAAATCCACGTGGACCTCCGCAAGTTCATGCTTATTAGATGTTTTTTGTCCTTTACGAGAGAGTCGACTACGTACACATAAGAGTGACCTTTCGCCAGAATGACCTGTGGTGCGGGCCCCAAGGGGCCTCCCCCGATTACCGAGTGCGATGCGGCAGTAGCATCTTGCGCGCTGTTGTTTGGCTCCCCCGCGGCCCACAAAAAGCCGCGCACAAAGGTCACTCTTACAGTCAACCCGCATCGTGAGGATGGGCAACCTTCCTCAAGGTACCCTTGCATCCTCGCTCGACAAATTGCCAGCATTTATGTGGGCTGCGGATTTCAAGAGTGTGTTCGAAAGAAAATAATGGCATCTTCAGTTATTAAGTCAGAGATACTTTTTGTGATAGCATGGTTGTTTCATTTGCGCATTTCAGCTAAGGATATTGTTTGGCAGCGGTTGTAATCACAGACGTTTGCTTAAACATGTTACTACATCAGTTGCGCAATGTCTGTTTTGCATTTGCTGGTTGTGCCACGGCGAATATGTGATTATCTGCATGACTCAGTACTCCTGATTCGTGTATCGTTTAGAAATACAAGGCAAGCATAAACACACTCAGTTTGTCAACGTTGTAACTATTGTAGCGCAACTTGGTAATACTTGACAACATATGAGTTTACTGGTTATGATTGCTTATATGGCTTCGTTTGGGTAAAGTTTAGTAATGACACATTATTGAGTCAGTTTTGTTCTTAGTTGGGAAATGTAGCACTGGTTTTAGCAGATTGCGTAGACAGTTGCGATGCTACAAGATTGCGACCTCTGTTTGTCATCAGGTTGTGAACTATGTTGTAAACATCGTGTTTTAGATTGAAGCGCTAGATGCTGTGATTTGAGTACTTATGTAAAGGCATGCACATCAGCGAATAATCAGCAACAGTTCTCAACACAATCTTCATTGATTGTGCAAACTTTTGTGGTACAGCATGCCGGTGATTTTCAACAAACTGAAACCTTTTCTGTTACACGGGATAGAATACATTTTATGTTATGAAGATTTTATTTTGTTGATAAATCATTTGGTGTGCTTCCAACAGAAGGCATAGGCACCCACGGCAATACATGCAGCGGGACACTTTAATGTCAATGTTTCTCAACAGTTTTTGAATTCTCCATGTTTCAAACATTTCAACACCTGGTCACAGGTTTGTTTTCATTATATATATATATGTTCATGAGGACGCATAAGCCCATTCTTAGCGATATGTTCTCAATTACTGAGAGTCTTGTTTTGACTTTTTGTGGTCGGTTTTGTTAGTATTCGAGAAAATCTTGCAATTCATGTTGCCATGATTTGACCAAGATACACGTATATATGAAGTTGTTCACTTGTTTTTGTGGGAAACATACCAGCCGACCAATTCGGAGTCATGCAATACCACAGGTTTTTTGAAGGAGCCACGCCGGGGCAGAAGGTTAAGCAATGTCTGTAGCAGTTTAGCAAATTATTGTAGTGAGCAGCTCTTATATAACATAGAATATTGCAAGCATGTATCAGTAATCCGGCAATCGTATGTGAGAAGTCGTACCTGAAATATTTCTTTCAAGTCTCTTGCGCCATTCGCAATCATTCCCTGCTAGTTGACTCAAGCCTTCGATCGTCGCGTTTTCCAGGACGCTGCTTGCGAATACTCGTCTGCCAAGTTCGGTCGGGCGCAATACTAAAAATCGAGGTCTCCCACCGATGTGCTCTCGATCTTGCAGAGATCTTGAGGAATGAGTCTGGAGTCGGATACTTTGGCATATTGAGATGGACTCTTTTGGACAGTTCGTGCATCTGTATGAGAGGCGAAGCCAGATTTAGGGTAATTACTAATTACTTTATTGTTACATTAGTTATCATTCGGGTTGCCTTGCTCAACAGAGGAGTGTCCACGCGGCTGTTTAAAGCTATGCTCGGCATTCGTATTGTGATTATTCTGTTTCGGGTTCCGTTTGTTGTTTTCCGGGGCCGTGTCCCTCGACGTGGAAGATCCCTCACGGCGGAGAGATACGGTAGAGGGAAACAGATAGTGAACCCCCCCCCCCTGCCCCCCAAACTCAAAGTCGGCACGAGAAAGGGGGGGGACTGAGGCCGAGGTGCAACTCATGAGACCCACCGCCAACTTCGAACACTGGGGGGAGGGGGAGGCGTTCACACAGATGAGTGTGGCCTTGAGTGTCCGCTATTTTTTTCTGAGGCCTGTAGCGCGTCGCCCCAACAACCCCGCCGACACGCCGTGCCTCGCGAGCGGGCGGCGTGCCGCTCCGCTCCGCGGGGCGGGAGGCCGCCCCGCGGGGCGGAGGCGACGCCCGGGAGGCGTCCACAGAGGAATGTGGCCTGAGTGTTCGCTCCTCCTCCTCCTCCTCCTCCTCCTCCTCCTCCTCCTCCTTCTCCTATCTTTCTATGCGGCCTGCACGCGACCCCGTGCCGTCGTCGATCCCCGCGTGCACGAGGCGCCTGCTGTCCGCGGCGAGGCGCTGCCTCCCAGGAGGCCTCCGGCCCCGCAGAGGCTCTCCGCGATCTCAAGCTCCCGAGGCACATAGCCCGTGTGGCGCGCGGCGGAGGGCGGAGGGCGGGGGGCGTGGGCGCCGGCGCGCCGGGGGCTGTCAGGGCGGCGCAGCTCGGGTTGACCCAAAAGGGGGCCCGGCGACCCCTGACCGTCCAGAGAGCTATTTTTTCAGCACTGGAGACCTAGAACACCCCAAAAAGCTTAGCGAGACAGCCTCAAAACCAAGACGCAGAAGAGCTTTGGGACAGGTTTTTAGGTCGGGTGCTATTTGTTAGCCCTCCTGGAAGGTCAGGGACAGGGGGGTGGTGCAGTAGATGTGGTGCAATAGATCTGCGGGGTTGCAACACAGCTGGGGCGTGCAGTGCTAGGCAGTCCTGTAGGGCGCGCGGTCGCGGCAGAGGGCGGGGGCGTGGACGCCGGCGCCGGGGCTCTCCGGGCGGCGTGCAGTAGGGGCGCGCCTCAAGGAACCAGATGCTTTTCGCCAGGGTGTCCTGGGCTTCTTCGCTCCTCGCGCCGCGCGGCGACTTCCCGCAGCCGTGGAAGGAGCTGCTGCGTTCGGGGTGCTCCAGGTTTCCCCTCCGGCGTCAGGGGAACAAACAGTGGCACAAACAAAAAAAAACTCGGAGGTCCGCGCGGAGTTCTCGGATCGGCGGTGGAGCCCCCAGGCGGCGCCTCCGGCGCTGACGACCGACACGGGTACGGAAAGAGTGGGTGCAGAGACCGACAGGAAGTTCTTGTTCATTCTGAGCAGGACTCGCTGTCGGCGTCGCCGCGGACTGTGTCCATTTGAGACAGAAGGCCGCGTGCCAAACAGCGGCCGCTGTTGGGCGTGGACGCCAGCGCCAGGGCGCTCTGGGCGGCGTGAGGGGAACAAAAAGTGACGTAAACATAAAAGCTCGGAGGTCCGCGCGGATTTCTCGGATCGGCGCTGGGGCCCCCCTGGCAGCGCCTCCGGCGCCGCCCCTGGCGCGCTCCGCGCGCCAGGGAGGGGGGTCCAGCGCCGATCCGAGAAATCCGCGCGGACCTCCGAGTTGTTATGTTTATGCCACTTGTTGTTCCCCTAGGCATAGCTGCGCAGCTCGAACCAACCACAGGAAGGATGAGCGTTTTCGATCGGCCGGCCCCCGAGCTTGTTCGGGCCCGGGGCACCGGGGAGAGGATCGTTCACGCGAAGAGTGGCGCCGGATTCTACCATCAGGCAGCAGCTCCGATATCTCGTCGGCCAGAGAGATCGAGTTCCCGTAGTGCGCCGACGCGTCGTGATTCTGAATGGGGGGCTGAGGAACCCTTGTCTGGAATTTCTGCAGAGGCTTCTTGGCGGTGACCACGCTGGCGAGCACTCCGTAGTGCCGTGCCTGGAGAGGGATTCGATGCACCTGCTTCGTCTGATTTTCGGCCTTTGCAGCCAGGGCAGGATCCGGTGAGTTTTATCATTCGGGGCGCGTGGCTTCGAGGTTTCGAATAAGTATGGGAAGTTCAGCAGGAGGTGCGTGCTGCACGTTCGTGAGCGCGCCCCAGATGCGGGAGTGCGTCCAGCGACTGCTGGATCTGTTTTGACAGCACCGACGTCGCCGGCGGGCCATGCCGAGCGCTGCTGCCGGGCCATTCCCGCCGAGAGGTCGACCTCGCCAGGAACAAAAAGCTGGAGACGCCCAGCGTT